GGAGGAATCGTATCTTTCATAATTTATCTCAACATTTTTTTCATATACAAATTTTTCTCTTCTTCTTCTTCCTCTTCTTCTTCTTCCTCCTCCCAGATTAATTTGTTTGAAAAGAACTTTGATCGATATTATATCGGTTTTTTTTTTTTTTTTTTTATAAAAACAAAAAAAAAAACCCCTTTCGGATAATTCTAATCTAATACGATATTTATCTCCTAAAGCTATTAGATTTATTATATATATTTTTTCTTCTCGACGTGTTTAATATTACGTAACTATATCCAAAAAAAAAAAAAAACGTTATATTATAATCGTTAAATAAGTGATACTCTTAAATTCCTACAAGATAATTCACATTGTCCAGCATTTGTGTCTACCTCCTTGGTCGTCCCTGAAGTATAATTGTAATTGTAATTGTTAATTCGTAATTTTTTTTTTTTTTTTTTTTTTTGTCAAAGATAGCGAGATAATTCTGTCGAGGACGATGCAACGTCATGCGAAATATACCTCGGGAGAGCTAAATTTATTTACGATTACTATGCAACTTTGTTGTTTAAAAGTTATTCGCTATCTTGACGATATCTAAAATATATGTATTTATTAAGTTTGATTATTAGGTGAGTCAAATAAGGTAAAAATAAAAAGAAAAAGAGAACAATTAACCGGTAAAGGAAATGAAAAACTAAACGAAAAATTTGGAAACCTAAAGGAAGGAAGGAAGGAATAAATAAAAAATAATTTAATAAATAAATAAAAACGATTCTCGTGAAAATCTAAATGTTTCCGTTTATTTTAGATGGCAATAAAATGCGAGACACCAGTGGATCCATACTCTTTCGTAGACGAAGACATGTCGATGGGTGGTATGAGGTCCGCGAGCAGTCCTGGTGGCAATCCTGAGAGCATGACGTGTCCGGGCGGCGTCCAACCGGGTCTGGTTACACCCACGTCGACGCCACCCGGTCCTCTCTCCAGTCAGCAACATCATCGAATCGATCTCGTACTGAATGGTGCTGTGAATACCCAGCTAGTGCATCAACCGAAGAAAAGAGGAAGAAAGAAAAAATCCGAAATGATATTAACACCCGAAGAGTAAGTTGTTTGAACGAGGATAAAATGTCTAATGCTAGGTTAGATTTCCTTCCAAATGTAAATATGTTTCTTATTAACAGGTATTTATTAATTGATCATTTGTCTATTGATTTCTTTTTAATTGTTCACTCGAGATCTTTAAAAATCACATCTCCAAAATTCTTCAATCATACGGAATAAGTTGATAATACGTAAGTAAATATTCGAATCGGTGTGTAAGATTTCTTAACGTCAGCGCCATTTTAAACGACAGCACCGTCGGCCATTTTATAGTCGAATATACTACGCTAGTCGACGTGACTCTATTTTTATCTTACGTACGTTTATCTCAAAGTTCAAGTTTTTTTTTTCTTCTCTCTGTTCAAATTTTCTCATTTAAATTCTACTTATTAATATATATATATAAGCTAATTAGTTTAAAAATAATTTGAAAGAAAAATTGATGATTGATTTAATCTTCAAATTCTATAATAAACAAAACTTTAGAGGTGTGTATTTTTATTCGAAATAATATGAAAATCAAAAAAAAATAGGATATCAAATAAATAAAAAGGGGAAGGAAAAAAAGAACGGGATGAAAAGGGAAGAAAGAAAGTTAAAACGACTACTGACCCTTTCAAAAAAATATCGAAATCAAAGCAATTTCAATTGAGAATATCTTCGTAACATTTGCTGGAAGAAAGCACGGATTATAGATACGCTCGTTACACCGTATCAACGTTAATTCGCTAAAACGGCGAATTCATTCGCATGTAAAACACGAAAATTTGCAAGGGAAATATCGAAAAATATCATCTGTTTGTAGAGAGAGAGAGAGAGAGAGAGAGAGAGAGAGAAAAAGATAAAAAAATATATATAGAAATATATATATATATTTCTGAATCTAACGATCGGTTATAATTTTTCGTATGGTAGAAAGAAAATCAAATACATAAATTAAAATAAAATATATATATATTTATGAACGTGTAAAAATAATTAAAAAGAAAGGAATGCTGCAATGATCATAATTATTTGAATAAAATGAACAGATGTAAAAAAAAAAATGCAATCAAATTATTTAACGTTTGATAAAAAATTGGAATATCAATTAAAAAAAAAAAAAGGAAATAAATATGATGCACCATGATCCCAAAAGTAAAAAAAAAAATCGGACGGACGACTCTTTTGTTTTAGGCTTTCCTAAATTCATACTTATTATTATTATTATTATTTTTTTTTTTTTAAATCTTTCTTGTGATATTTGTTCTAGAGCTGAGCTTGCGGAGGCGAAAAAACGCGCGAAGACGTATAAAGAAAGGAAAAAACATGACAGGTTTGACGGAATGCCGGAGGAGGAAGTGAGTAAACGCATTCTTCCGGATCACCTAACGAGCAACCTGGACATCATCATAGTAAGTTTACCTTTTATCTATCGCTTTGATCGTCTCTCCCTCTCTCTCTCTCTCTCTCTCTCTCTCTCTCTCTTCGTATTTTACCTTGGGTTATAATCTACAAGTTGTTGTTGTTGTGCTACTAATGTATATAGGAAAAGCGCGGAGTTTCTACTGTGTTCTACTGTTACTGCGAGCATATAAATGGACAAACGGAGCGAAAACGAGTGAGTGAGTGAGCGAGCGAGCGAGTAAGTGAATGAATGAGTGAGCGAGTGAGTTAGTGAGTCAGTTGGTTAGATTAAGAGAGAAAGAGAGCGAGAGAGAAATAGAAAGATGTATATGTATGCGAATCTAGATAGATGGACGAGTAGATTTATTATACGCTACGGGATCTACGTAAGCTAAGAGCACTGAGCCGGAATAATCACTGATTACACTACTGTGTAACGTATACCAATAATCTAGCAGGAGTATCACAGGGATACCGTGAAATTTCTAACAACAAAAGCGGACCACGTATATATATAACCCCCTCCATCCACTTCTACCCACCCACCCCCCACCTACCTACCCTCCTCTCTCACTCTCACCCTCGTCTTCTCTCTCTCTCTCTTTCAGCAACCAATCCCAACTACGTTCTTCCTCTATCTCTCTTCCTCTCTCTCTCTCTCTCTCTTCAAAAGCATTACAATCTAAACCGACTTTTTATCAGTATCTATACAAATAATTGCTTAGAGTCCATAAACGTTCGGTAATTTCAAAGCTATCGTTTCTTTTTTTTTTTTTTTTCATATTTCTTCTTTCTTTCTAGATTTTTCCAGCCACGAGCGACGAATAAATTGAATAAAATAAGGAATATATATGGGTTGGTTAAGAATATTGCATTATCGAAATTATCACGTAAAAATAAAATGGATATTTTTCAAACGTTTCATCAATTTTTCATTTATTTTAATAATCATCATCAATGGTTCATATTGTTATTTTTTATTTTATTTTTTTTTTTAATAGAACTTCATTGACATTAGTTTCTTTGAACTGGCCAATAATATTAACCCCACCCC